GTGGTGGTGGGTGTTGTATATTGACTTGAGTGCATTGTTGTGACAGATGTAAGTGTTTTGAAGTTTTCCCTGTCGATAGTGGTAGTGCGTTAACTGTTGACTTCAAATTTCGTTGTTGAGAGGAAAAAGTCAATACGAACTGATAACCGATTGCTAACCTAACCGGCACTCATGTGAATTACTTATTGTTTCATATAGAATAATTTTTACAACTTTATAGATGATTACAGCTCATTAATGTTCATCAGCTTTGTCGGTGAATAGTCGATCTTAAAATAAGGAATTCAATCGATAAGCTTGGATGTTGTGACTTCTGTACACTAACTATATTGACGTGATGTTCATTAGTTTGGTTTGTTGAGGAGGAAAGGAACTGATGAAAACTTGAAAATTTAAGTGACGAAATTAAAAAAAAAAGTGGTTGGAATCGCCTTTAAAAAAAACTTGGGTCTCAAAGGACTCGTGAAACACTGATACTCAGAATTCAAGGGTCTAGTGAAGCATAAGATAACGAGATACGAAGGTTCAAGGATTTGTGAAGCACCGAGATGATGGTTCGGTGGACAAGTTTATTTCTCCACGCAACACTACTAGGGATAAAGAAATGAGTTCCCTCCCTCCGTGTTCTCGTTAATAAAAGTTACATTAAAAAAAGATTATAAACAGAATCCACTAATACGTTACAAATAAATTCTAAATCCTATTAGGTAGACTAGGTATACTATTTTGGGTGATATTTAATTTAGAACTACGTACGGAACTATAATGAAAATATCTCTATCGTTCTTATATACAGGCACTTCCTTAGTACTGGGCAAATTTATTCACGAACTTCCAATTAGTTATTTCATATACACAGTGAAGATTATTACTTTCACCTGACAGAAGCTGGCAGATGTACCATTTTCTTTTATCAATTCAATGAAACAGCCAAATAACATATTAGTTATGCACAGGGTCTATGGCAGGTAAAGTGAGACGAAGATAATTATCATGTGCGATAAGAAACTTAGTCTATAATGTGACTTTCCACATTATTAGAACCAAGTATGAATTCATGAATACGCGTCAAGAGGAAAACTTGCCCACGTCACGTTCTACCGTCTGAAACAGTGTAGGTGGGAGTTCATTATCTTGGATCACCTGAATCATTTCGTTCTTCACTTGGAAGCGTAATGACAAGCGATCCTCTGGTCTGTTGTCTCCATAGAAGGTGAGTAATTTTGTGGTGTATTTAAAGGATATGATTCACTGTAAATATTATGATTCGTAGACATAGAAAGTAGCTATAGACTTTAAGTATATATTTAACGAATGAAAATGAAAGTCGGGTAAATCTATGAACCAGAGGGTGTCGATACTGTATATAGATGAAATTATTTCTTGATCAGTTCCTACTGTACGGAGTCCGATCCTGATAATGGTATAACTATAGATGAAAGTTAAGCAGAGGGTTGTCACATCATTTATGAACTGTTAGCATATTAAATCTACTCTTAAAAACGGTAAACTTTCCCATTAATCTTTCGCATTTCCTGTGGTACAAAAAGCTGGGGAAGGAGATGAATATTTTTTTAACAATGAACATTTTCAAAAAACCATTTAATGTATAATAGTCTCCATTACAGTAGCCACGGCCTACCTGAAGTTAGTTGAAGACACCTGACTCTTGACACCCACTTAGTTGTCGTGAGTAACAATGGAACTAATAGAAATAAGCCAATAGAGCAAATAAAACAGCCAGAAGATCTTAAGGTTATTCATTTAAATAGCTTAGATGTTTCACTCAGTCGCTTGATGTATATAACGAGAACGTAAGAGTTGACGTCCAATAGTCTACGGGGGAGTATTGGGCTGTGGTAAGCTTGCGTGACCATTTTTGCATTCTGGGCTATTGATCTCGGTTCTATAAGGTCGGGTTAACTTATCTAATAACGGGATCCCTGTTTTGGTTTCCTGTGTGTTTTATATACTTAACAGCCAGTCTTTAATCGACTTGTATATGTGCTTCAAAAGACCAAGTAGAGTGCAGTTCATAATACTCCAAACATGGCAACTTATGTGGATAATTTGGCAAATGCTTAACTTCCTTAGGCTTTAATTCACTGTGTAAAAACTATCAGATTTCTGTATATGAAGACTTTGTTAACGTACAGTGGGGTGAAATATAGTGTTTGTTACCAGACTTACATCGATAAATATATGAAATATAGAAACTTACATATAATAATTGATCCCTTGTTCCATTAAACAGGTTTTTCAGGTACTGTAGTTGTAATTAAGGAAGGTGAGATTGTTTTTTTAAAAGTCAGTGTTTTAATCCTCTGTCCTAGGCACTGAAACGTCAGGCTGGATCCTCCACTGTAAGCAAAGATATGCACCAGACGGGGGCGTGACGTAAATTATATTAATAAGATTTTTAATGTTACGGATAACGAGAGAGATGACAACCTTAACAAAAATAAGGATATAATGAATAGACAGTGATATATTTATTACATCACATTAAACAAAGATATCAAAACAAAATAGTGTTTACAACATGTTTGATGTAAACGAAGACTGCGAGGTCAAGACTAGTGCGCGAGTTTATCAAGACAAATTACTACCCATATGAGCAACAGTTCAGTCGAGTTGGGTGATAAATGTTTGTACTCTATTATAGGCTTTCAGCGAACTGGCTATTCTCATTTCCCATTTGCACAATAAACAAACATAAAATTTAAAGAGTACTCCAGTGTTTTATTACAAAACGAAGCTCAGTAAATGAGGAAGAGGCAACAAATGATTGAGGCATTTCTACAGGTTCTGTGCATGGAGCTCCAGTCCCTCGTTCGGAAGTTTGCACCCATAAAATATTTGAGGTACACAGATATCAGTATCAATTGATCCTGGAATTATCTTTGTATAAGCCAGAGGAGAATAAACACACTGAGTGCTTTTGTAATGCATCCGTAATGAAGCAGTTCATTTACTGCCACTTTATCTCCTCATAATAAATGAGCCGCACATTCAGCCGCGCGTTTTTAATTGATTGCCACCACGTAATATGGGAGAAATGCAGGAGTGAATAAACTCTAAAGGATAGATTAGCTACAGCCAACGTCACGGCAAGACTTTACTGAGTTTCTGATATAAAAACAGTGTACTAGTTGAAGGGTCTTCTGTAATAGTTAATTGCCCTCCCATATAACACCCGTGAAGCGTTGAGCGCTGCTTCCGAGCGACGGTCAGGAACTTCTGCCGGATTTCAATGTAAAAGTAGATCTCTGATCGATATTGGAGTTCATTGCTTTATTATATACTGTACCTCATTATAGCCAGATGGTGCCTGACCTTGCGTGATTTCTTCAAAAGAAAATTAGATAAACAAATACGTGATGCTCGACTCAGTATGTCAACCTTCAGGGCGCAGACCCAAGTACTGTAAATTTAAGAACCGAGTACAATACCAATTCAGGTTGTGGTAGATCTAGTCATTATAAATAAAAGATGATGAATGCTATGAGTAGTGGGTGGGTGCGACCCCTTATAGCTAACACCTGTTCTCTCTCTGGCAGGCGAACACCTGACTACAGTCCTCTTTGTCAGTCAAATATGTGCTGTTACCTTCCTTCCCTTCTACCTTCCCCTTCTTTTCCTCTTCCCCCACTTTTCCTTTTCTCTCTCTTTTCCTCTTCACCCCCTCTTCTCCCATTCACCCCTCTTCTCCTATTCACCCCTCTTCTCCTCACCCCCTCTTCTCCTATTCACCCCTCTTCTCCTCTTCACCCCTCTTCTCCTCTTCACCCCCTCTTCTCCTCTTCACCCCTCTTCTCCTCTTCACGCCCTCTTCTCCTATTCACCCCTCTTCTCCTCTTCACCCCTCTTCTCTTCGCCCTCTTCTCCTCTTCACGCCTCTTCTCCTATTCACCCCTCTTTTTCCTATTCACCCCTCTTCTCCTATTCACCCCTCTTCTCCTCTTCACCCCTCTTCTCCTCTTCACCCCCTCTTCTCCTCTTCACCCCTCTTCTCCTCTTCACGCCCTCTTCTCCTATTCACCCCTCTTCTCCTCTTCACCCCTCTTCTCCTCTTCACCCCTCTTCTCCTTCCTGTCTAAAATTATCTCCTCTTCATGTCCCCCTCATTGATCATTAATTCCCTGCACCAAGCCCGTCACAGTGGAGGGAGGGAGAGGATTCAAGAGTGGCTCGATTTTACTGTACTTTATCCTAGATGGTTAGTACCCCATAATGCTCTTCAAAAATACAGTACTATACTATATATGGGCAAGTGGTGATTCAATACAAGTTTATAAACACCTCACAGGACATTACTCAGTCATGTGTTCATATCTGGAGCTGACGGATGCCAGAGCCGCCTGAGGTCACAGCCTCAGGTTAAAGAAGCCACAAGTACAGAAAATTGTTAGTGTAAACTTTTTGTGGTGAAAGTTGTGAACCCTTGGAAAAATTTGCTTGAGAGTGGTGTGACGGCACCGAGTGTGAGCTCATTTAAGACCAGACTTAACCAACACTGGCGCAGGTTCAGATATAGTCTGGAGCCAGAACATGCCTAGTACTTGCCAACAGTGCGTAACAGACGTGATCGACCGTCAATATGGCTAACAGGCCGTTCAGAGGCGACCTTTAGACACGAGGCGAAAGCAGTATCCACCAGGCAATTGCTATATGTCGTGCTGCTGCTGCTCAACGTGTATATATTTCACATTACTGTAGTAGAGTTATACTATACTGGCTATATCTCAAGCAACGTATACATACAATAAACATATAGTGAAGGGAACACCAATGTAACTACTTGAGATTAAATACCGGTGCTATGCTAAATTTATTTTAAAGATTTTTATCTTATGTTCTTACATCTGTTGTGGTGTATCTTAGGTGTTACCAAACCTGAGAGTTATGAGTTGTGAAGCTAATACTGTACTGTACTGTACTGTACTGTACTGTAGTTCCTCCATCCAAACAGGTGTGTGGCTATTCTCCTGTGGATCACCATGAGAAAATTCTGGATACTGAGCCTGGCGGTCATCACTTACCTCTTATTCTCGTACACCAATATCTTCAAGGTCTTAAAAGCTGGCCTGAGACGTGGAGAGGCTGATAACACGTATGATGGGTTTTATTTCTCGAACACAGAGGTGGATTTGGGCTACAGGAAGCGACATGGAGGTCAGGAATGGAGGGAAATTGTGGGGTCATGGAACCATCACTACCAGGTGTGTGACTTGATTACTGAAACTGTCAAGACCACTGTTTATTTAGCTGTACGATATACAATATAGTCCTTGTAATTTGAAAGCAATAGATTCAGCTTGGTTAGGTTAGGCTAGGTTGTAATAATTTAATACCTTTGGTCGTGAGTAATTTGGTTACTAATGATACAATAACAATTGACTTGCAGGTGAAGTCACAAATAGAAGGTGATGTGGTGAACACGTACCCTGACGAGGTGACGTTCCTAGTGGAGGAGTCAGAGGCTTGCCGGGACCCTCCGCTGGTGCTGGCCATGGTGGTGACGGCTGTTACTAACTGGCACCGACGACACTTCATCCGTCACACCTGGGGTCACCCAGCCCTCGTCCAGGTCACGGGAGTCAAGCCACTGTTCGTAATGGGTCAAGTGAATGATAAGAAACATCAGGTGAGTATAGCGATAAAGGGGCACTTCTACTGAGGCTTTGGTTGTGAGGGAGTGGAAGTGATGCGACTGATAAAATGATAGTATCAGCCTCAGTCAAGAAGTATGATCACAACAATCTCGGGTTAAAGAAAGTGTTAATAATTATGAGTAAAAATAACCGCTGTCGTATATGTCGTTTAGCCCCGACTGCCTTCCCTGCATTGTCAGTTATTGTCACTCACACAGTGTAGATTTAACTTTTCCTTATATCTTAAAGTGTAATGTGGTACTGTATATCACTTTATAATTCACTTGATACATTGAAGTTTATTAAAGTTGTGATGTGATGACCTTACTCATTACATTTTGTAGTGAGTAGCAGTAAGCTGATAGGTGGCGAAAATTATATAAAAAATATTTGGCATTTGTGTGACATTATGCTCATGTCCAGTAGTCACTTCCCAAGAAGTAAATTACCAGCGTGCACAAGTCAAAATTTCTATGCCCAGTCTTCCCCTCTTTTTTAAACTTCTTTTCATTTAAGACCAGACTTGACCAACGCTGGCGCAGGTACAGATACATAATGGAGCCAGTACATAACAATATATACTTGTCAACAGTGCATAACAGAGACATGACCGACCGTCCAAGCGGCTAACAGGCCAACAAGTGGCGAATACTGCCACTATTGGCGAAGAGAATAAATTAAAGCAAGGATTCTATACTGTAGAAGGATGGCTGACTCCAATGAGTGAACGTTTTCACCCCAGAGCCGTAGACAGTTCGGTCAACTCGGTGACAGGCGGGCGCCATGCTGATACTCAGCTGATGAAAACGTTTGCGCTGGTCCTGTAAATGATGGTGATGACGATTTTTATTCAGTAAAATTGTCATACATATTTACAATTGGATAAGCATGTTTATAAACTATGTGGAAGACACCTCGAGAAGACTTCCCACCCGCTGAGTAACAACATGGCGCCCAGTTGGCTGAACTGTCTCTATCTACGGCTCTCTATATGCGGCTCTGGCCGTAGACAGAGAATAAAATATTGATCAAAACAGAGGGGTGAAATGGGTTAGAAGTGTTAGACTTGATAAGGAACAAATTTGTAGATTACTGTATTATATATGCTTTGGCAAGGTGTTGTATTAGAATACAGGATATATCACTACCAACTTACAGCTTCTCTGTCATACAAATATCATGCCTTCCATTACTCAGACATAATACCTTTTATCTCGGTTTTAGTACAAGTCACATTTGCATACGATTTGTGACTTCATGAACATAACTAAAATACCTCCCTGATTCACTACATTCCTCCCAGCAGGATTCTGTGATGCGAGAGTCACAGCAACATCATGATGTGGTACAGGCTAACTTCATCGACTCTTATCGGAACCTCACCTACAAGACAATGGCTCTGTTAACATGGGCAGCCCAACATTGTCCACTCGCTCCAGTCATCCTTAAAATAGACGATGATGTTATTCTCAATCCAGTGGCACTGCGAGAATTCCTTCTAGTTTACTTGCAGGAACACCCACAGCCTACTAGGATCATGGGTAAAGTAAGATGTTGTGACCCAGTGCTGAGGAAAGGGAAGTGGGGAGTGCCAGAGGATATATATCCAAAGAAGGGATATCCTACCTACGTGGCAGGGCCTTCATACATAGTGCCCACACCCATCATACCTACCCTACTGCAAGCCATCAAGAGAACTAAGTAAATCTTATATTTTACATGGTGAAGGAGATCTGAATTCAAGCTTTTATGTATGTGTGGACTGTAGTCAGAATAATTATCTTGTAATATATAAGTCTTCTTTTGTGTTCATATGCTGAATTTAAGCAGTTTTGGACAGATCTCACTTATTTTCTTTCACGTCTGTACTGTCTCTTAAACAGTATATAGGTATATACAGTTCCACTGACTTTTTTCAATAATCAAATTCTCTAAAAAAATTATCTTATAAGTAACATGTCATCGTAATAACAGGAGCGGATCCAGGGGGAGTCCTGGGAGTCCGGACCCCCTCTTTTCATCAGAAAAATCCAATAATTTTCCTTTAAAGCAATATTGTACTCTTTCGTTTTTATATAGTAGAGAGTAATTACTATTGGCCTCAGAATATCTCCTAATATCAAGTGCACATGGCTTCAAAATGGCCTCAAAATGCCCATGATATTGGGGGGGGGGGGCTTACAGCGCTCCCCTGAAACCCCACAGCTGGGTGGGCTCGCTTTGCTCGCCATGTTCTCTCACCCACATCTTCTTGGACCCCCTTTTTTATATACCTGGATCCGCCCCTGAATAATCACTGTTGCCTTGCTCCTCAACTCCTTGTAGTTTATCTAAGCATTGATTTACTCTAACGTATGACCTCTGCCGCCCTGCACTGGAGAGGGAAATACCTGTAAACTTGTAACAATTAAGGCTGTCAAAACTCGAGCTTCTCTTACAAGCAAGACAACTTTTAAGTTTTTCCTTTCTTTCAATAACACATTTATGGTTTATTTTCCTCACATCAAAAGGTAGTTATTATTTACAACCTGCCTTCAAATCAATACATTTTTCAACTTGATATAATATTTATAAAATCTTTAGTTATTTTTTCTCACCCCATTCCTTTGGTGTAACCTAATTCCCCTCATTCCTTCTTGACAAACTCCAGTCTAATTCCATATAAACTGTTTCCCTCAGACAGCCTTCCTCCTCACTGTGACCTCACCCGGTATCCTCCCATTCTTCATCTTGTTGTTTGTACAACTCATATCCAGACACACTCAACATTATACCTCTACCGTACACTACTTATCAGCAGCAAACTTTCAAGAGCCTACAAATAGGACCAAACTCCATAGTCTAATCTTTCATTCTTTATCCCTTGGTGTTAATAGTGAATCTTCTGTAACCAGTTCAAGTTAGTTTTATTATCTCAGATATGCTTCTCATGGGTTCTTCAGGTTCTTCTTCCTGGAAGATGTTTACACGACGGGTCTAGCAGCTAAGACCAGCGGTGTCCATCATTACAACATCTTCTCCCTCACTAATTCATTTGCCAGCAAGATGGACTACTACTGGTGCTCCGGAGCCAGAGTCTTCCAGGTGGATTTTTTTATTAGTGGTAACAAGAATATTATTATTGGAAAGTCTTTTGGAGTTAAGGTAAACTGTATAAGATGAATCATATTTAGGGCATTTGTTTTATCAATTCATAACTATTGCTTGTGCAGATTTAAACTTCTCTTCACCAATGAAGGCTGTAATAAGGAACAGATGTGAGTAATAGGGAACAGACTGACTGACTAATAAGCTAACAGGAAGGACTGTAGCAGAACATGTGAATGATTGGGGCGGAAGATGTTGAGTAGCGTATGGGGATGTTACAGCAGATAGATGAATGGATAGGGGCAGGTCATATTTTCTGCATTTACTTAACACCACTGAAATACCATCTCCCTTGAATTTTCTATATCCCTTAACCCACCCCACAATGTAAGAGAGGAATAAAACTAATTTAACAATAATAATTCTTATGAAATAATGATATCGTGTACTTTCAGGAGAATGTTGATATGAAACAAGCAATACAGGGATGGAATGCTCTACGAATATTGGAAAACCTTACCTACATTCCACCTTATGTCTTGGGAACCAGCTGAATTCCATACCACAAGCTGCTTCACACCATTCCCCTCTTTGTACTGCTAACTTCTTCAGATTAAGGATCAAAGGTATTATTCTATTTATAGTTCAGTATCCTCTATCAGGCTTATGATTTTTCTTGCCTAATCCAGGTTTCTGACTTTTAGTTCACCCAGTCATTTTTTAGTTTCCCTAAATTCAAAACTATTTTTGTGTGGGGGGGTACTGAAGACTTGGGTGGTCTCCAGATCCCTTGGCCTAAAATCTTCATAACCAGTAAAAAAAATCAAATTCGAGGTCTGAGTTTCATCATAAGCAGAACCAGTTACTGTACAGTACTACCTATACAGTATACATGTACTGACATGCATATCCTACTGTATTTTTAAAGATAATTTTCTTGTTTTAATACAGTACAGTTATTACTATGGGGGAACTGAAAGCTGTGTAAATGGTGCGTCTAGAATTTTTTGTTAACCAGGAGATTGTCTTTATATTACTAGATTAATGCAGACCTGATAGATTACTTATAGGTGAGTACAGTAATTGTACTGTCTGGCCTGAATCGCTCTTAAAGCAGGTTATCATTACCCTATTTAGCACTGTTTGATTAGTGCTCAGTTTTCAGGAACAACGTCTGGGCATTAGTCAAGGTACTTCTATATTACCTGTGATTATTTTTGCACCAGTCTTTCAACTGTTCCTTAATCATGAGTGGAAAATATTCTGTAAGTACACCTGGCAAGAAGTTGTAAGCAACCTTGGTTTTATATTGGTGAGTACTGTACCCATGTATCGGTGTTCATTTGTCTACTTGTGCACTTCATTTGAGGTGCTCCGCATTAGAAAGGGGTGAAGCGCCAAATTAAAAAAAAGCTGAGAAAAATGCATTTAAAGTTTTTCGAAGTTCAAACAACCATAACTTTGTTGTTTTTTAAGCTAGAGGGTTCATTTTTTTATTGTACAGCTCAATCCCTCTCCTAGCGAGCTGTGAAAACTGAAAGTTAGTACTAAGAATAGTTATTATTTTATCTTCAGTTGAAGGAGAATAACTACCTGTGTTGTACAGTTGTTTGATCTTCAAACCAACAATAATCGCGTTTTTCTGCAGAATTTTCTTATTATTGTGGGTTAATATTGTAAAACAAGTTAATGATTACCAAAAACAGCACTCGTCTTACACCCACCCACCCCCCATAATCCCCCCAAACAATGAAATAATAATAAAAAACTCATTTGCCTATCGGTATTTATTTTTCCGTCCCTATTATTAGCCAAGATTTATAATATTGTTGAGTATAATAGTGTGTAATAATAAGGAAACACCACTACACTCCCCCCCCCAACGTAATTAACATGCGAATACAAAGGCGGAGAAAGTTTTCATAATCTTTGGTAAAAACAGTATTATGACAATAGTATTACAATCTTATTTTGTTTAGTTCCTCCGTTTTATTATCCCTGAAGATCGTAGGAACTTGAAGTTACGTAAATACTGAGGAGTGCGTATAACTTTAATGGCCTCGTCATAATCAATCACGTACTTAGCAAAGTCTTTCTCTGCACCCTCTAAAAATCGCCACACAGATTCTTCATCAACTAAATCATTGATTATTGATGCCGGCAACAGTTCAGTTTCATTATAAGACTGAGGTATGGGCTCACTTTCATTAGCATTCGTTGGATCAGGCTCACTTTCATCACTATCAAGGTCAATGCATGTCTCGTCACTGTCCACTTCTACCTCCTCACAGTCTGTATGTTCTTGTTGTGATACATTAGTGTCACTGTTTGTGTTACCATTAGACTCACTTTCATCATTTTCATCTTCACTTTCATCGTCATTATTGCCGTCAGTGCATGTCACGTAACTCTGTACCTGAACACAGTCTGCAAAAAGGTCTTGTGATGCATAGCAGTCACTTTTTGTATTATGAGTACAGTATACCAAAATCACTATTACTATCACCAAGCATTCCTGGGGTGTCCACGTGAGCACTGTCGTCACTAAACACTCGCTCAGGAATAATAGGCTCCTGAACCCACACCAGAAGGCCTGGCCTCACTCGAGTCTTACTCTAATATCGGGCAGATGTTGCACAGCACTTCTCACACCAGTGGAACACGAATAGCGTCAATGTTACGCCAAAAAGTTATAAAAAATAGCAGTAGAAAGTGCACTGAACCTCCTTATGCTATACAACGTGTCAAAATTAACAAGGAGGCAGCATTTGGGCGCGCGAATTAGCCGAGGAGCTGTGACGTAGCAAGGGGAAATCCATTGTGATTGGCTGCCTCAGGGGGTATGTTCTAAAGGAGGCGTGCTGTCATTGGCTCTCACTCCTCTCGCGCTGAACGGGATGTTGCCACCTTCTTTGACTGAGCTCACAGCCAGATACGTAGCTCCAGGCCTGAGGTGAAATCACACCTTATTTTTGAAGGACTTTCTACCATATTTCTATTCTAGCCAGAGGGTTACATCCAACGCCAACATGTAGAGGGAGGGTGAAAATGTGATATCCATCAAAAAACGCATTTTGGCCGGGGTGTCGCCTCAACCCCTTCTAATGCTGAGCGCCTCATTTATTCTCTGTATTGATTGATTTAATTCTTGTCTCAATAGGTAAATGAGGTTTAAGTAAGGTTAAGGTGACCAAAAAATTTCTTATATAATGTACTGTATGGCAACCCCCAGTTATAACACTTAAGACGGAAAAAAGTGTTCATTTTGCTTTAGGCTTTCTAGGAACATCCCTGATATAAATAAGTGACTTACTGTACAAATACAGTACTGTGTATAGGCATTCTAAGTACAGTAGTTCAGAGAAAACTACAAACATAATTGCATGACTTTCTAATAGTGTTTCTTGGAAAAAGGTAAAGTGGATGTAAACATAAGAACTGTACAGACGGGAAAAATATACTACAGTATATATCAGTTTGAATGAAGATAAAGTAAGGGAAGTGAGATGTTTCAGGTACAGTATCAGGGAGTAGTATGCTAATGAACAGATGAATGGGGAACAAATGGAATGATAGAGTATGTACGAAATAAAATAATTGATGCATTAAGATACAGGTATTGAGAGAAATTATTGTATCAAAAGAACTCTGAAGTTGATGCTTAGAGTCAAGATGACGTAAAACTATGGTAGAGAAACAAAGGGAACAGAGATGACATTATTGAGATTAATATAGGGTGAATAACTGAAGAGATAAGATAATACAACAGTATGATGGAGGTGGTAATGAAGTAAGTGCCAGACAGAGAGCTGAAGAGGTTTTCTTAAGGTGGTCTAGACAGACTGAGAGGATGGAAAACAAGATTTGTATAAAGTAGTTATAATCCCAAGGCGAGTGGTGGGGTAGGAAGGTAAGGGGAAGACAACAAAATAGCTGAATGTATGCATTAGAAGCAAAGAGTTTCCAAGTGAAAAAGGTTCCAATCAGCAGAGTCCCTGATCACAGTTGTAATGACAGTGCCTCTGGTAACACATGTTTCCAGATGTAAACATACACAGTAATTCAGTTTCATATTACAATGAATTGTTGAAATTCCTGCTAAAAATATCTTGGCATACAGGTATAGACACTGCCCGGGTTACAGAACACTCAGTTTACAGAAATTCAAGGATACAGAATGCTTCCCATAAGTCCTATTATAAAATTTTTGGGTTGTGCAAGAGTTTCTGTTATTATGGAAGGTAACTAGTATGGTGTAACAACACCATTTGTGTGACGCCATCTGTGATTCAGTACAGGGTACAGTACATATTTACCTTATGGTAGGGTCAATTTCTGTTTTCAGATAATTTGGCATACAGATAGGGTCGAGGAATGGAACCTTTCCATAAACCGGGGAATGTCTGAATATTTTTTTTAAGAGTAAGAAAATATGAGCTCAATATTTTTGTTAAATGAACACTGTTAATACCAAGATTTACATGTAGAAACATTAGAATCCAGTTGTTCCAGTGATTGATGTCAATCTTTTGCAGCAAAGGTAACAAGTTTTACAGTGTGTTAACATAAGGTGCACAACTGAGCAATGGTAGTCAATTACCATAGGTTGGAGCCACATGATTCTGTACTTGTTCATTAGCTCTGGGATACTGTACTTTATGCTGTTTGGTCCAAGTTCACATTTCAGTTTTATCAGTCACTGAACATATTGAGGAGAAACATTGACATGCTTTTGAGGCAGTCGGCCACATGGAGCAGGTGCAGTACATAAATATTAGTACCTGTACTCAAAGAGCAAGGCAATTGTGCTTTGGGATTGTGCCAGGAACTACAGCTCCTGTGCAGTGGCATTAAATCTGTATGTTACCTTTCATCTTCTCAGTCTTGAGATAAAGTACCAGTACTACAGGTATAAAGTTTGTATTAACAATAGAACTGAGACAAAATAATTACAGTAATATCCCCGTTAATAGGAACAAATGGTACAGAGCGTTTCTGGGTTTGAGTGATTTCCAGGTAGTGAGACAAATTCTCTATCCTGAAAAAAATCACACTTGTACAGAATTTTTCTGTTGCTACAGAGAATTAACTGCAGTTGGACAGACAGAGTGGTACTGGTATCTATTTATGCAAACATTACTATAAATATACATTACATATTAAATAAACAAAATCTATTACTGTATACAATACTGTATACTGTATTCAACAGCAGATGCTGTCATCTTGAGCTTGTGATACAGGCAGGCCAATGGTGATATTATAATACAGGATCGCCTGCCTTTGTCCTGTACCACCTACTGCAGCAGGTTTTGCTAACTGTCGCTCTCCTCTCCCACTATGAAGGAGGAATTGTACACACACTGTATACTGTACATCACCCTCTACACACTAGCCTACAGTAGGCATACACTGTTGACTCTACTATATACTGTACAGTACTGTACTGCACTGTACATACAGTACTTTCACACCTACTAACTATACAGTACAATACTGTATACATTATTGTAATCACTTTTTATGTCCTAACACTGCTTTAATTGTATTCTTGGTTGATTACCGAATATCCTGGTACAGTAATGTAAAGTACTGCACTGCACAACACAGATCATGCAAAAACCACAGTGAGCGAGTGAACAAGCTTCTACAATGGCAGCAGACAATGAACTAAGAGTGTCACGATGCAAGAGTCTGAGGAGATAGACTGTGAGATACATCAACCAATCATAGACATTCCATGTAGTCATCACCTGACAGTAGTAGCCAATCATAGCACACGACCACTCTCAACCTACCCACCCATGCATTCGACACTTGTCGGCATGATGCAATCACTCGGAAATTCATCCCGGAATGGTAAAATTTTATTTTGCGGGTAATGGAAAGTTTTGGGATCAAAGATTCAGGCTAACAGGGATATTACTGTACATGTACTGAAATTCAGTACCTTAGTTACTGCATCTGGAAAATAGCTTTACCTTTAAGACTGAATTTTTTTTGTATATTTTGTAGATAAATCATGGAAAATGGCCATAAAACAGTGTAAATACAATACTGTATCTCTTTTGCATAATTCTAAACATTTGTTTCTATGTACAGTATTTTCAAGTAATTTTACTATGAAAACTTTAAAGTTAGAAAAATATACAATACTGTACTAATAAATATATTCTGATATACCACCACTTTTTCTTAACAGTATAAAGGGTTTCATTTTGGTCACCCAATAAAATTTTATTAAATAATTCTCTGGCCTCCAGGTAAATAAAACGTCAGTAACAAAAAATACCCTTGATATTGAAAAATAACCATATACGCTATATGACTAGGGGTTTTGTCCAGATACAGTACATAATTTTTAATAAGAATTTTTTTTTTCATTTATGCTTATAAATTGGTAATTATTATTTTTTCAAATATTAGACAATTAAACATAAACCTTTAATCTTTTCACCAGTACCCCCAAAAATTAAATTACACAACAGTTTCTTTACAAATGTTTAATTTATGGAGATGAAAATGAAGGAGTCAGATAGTTAATGGGAACACAGTCCTCCATATGTACACTGAGTGACATCATTCCTTGCTGGTCACTTCTCTCCAGCTCCTCCCCAGTGTGTGAGTGTGTGCCATGGTGGGATTGATGTTCACTAGGCATTACCTGTGAGGAAGGATGTAGCAGCTCGCATGTGACCTCTGGTGATAGTGATTGTAGCTGGGAAGACATTAAAATTGAGTGTGAGGTCTCTACACCTGAGGAGGATGCACTAGTCTGATGTAGCATGCTGGGTCTGGAGCCTTTAATATGTTTAGGTTGTTGTTGTGTACCTCTGGGAAGAAACTTTCCTCAGTAACAGGTTTTTGGTCAACATCATCAAAATCTGAATTGTTAAAACCTCGAGTACTTGTGGTCTCCCGGTCATGGAAGGCTTCCTTGTGAACCTAGAAAATAGAAATACAGTTATTATGATACAGTATTAACCTAATTATCTAAATTCACTTTGGGTTTCATCAACAATTTTCAATTTTGGCCCATGAATGCATAATACCTGTACTGTATAAACATCAAAATCTGAATTGTTAAAACCTCGAGTACCAGTGGTCTCCCGGTCATGGAAGGCTTCCTTGTGATCTAGTCTTCAGTTATTATGATATGTATTAACTGGATCTAAATTCACTATGGGTTTATACAACAATTTTCAATTTTGGCCCATGAATGCATAATACCTGTACTGTATAAACATTGCAAGTAAAACTGAAAAGAAAGAAAGAGTATGCCAGTGTTTTCTCATGATGGTCACAGTTTGGGCACATCTGTGTATCTAGTCTTCCAGCCCATATATGCACTGGAGTAGCAAGTTTATACTCTAATTAATAGTAACAAAACATGCATTATGTAAATCTGAGCTGCATATTTCAATTTTTTTTTTTAATATCATATTCGCCACTTATCAGCTTATTAGCCATTTGGGCGGTCTATCCAGTGTTAGTACAGGAAGTATGAAATAGATATCCTGTAGACAGAACTCACACAAACTATTATATTCTGCAGCATAATCTGGTAAAGAAAAACTGACTTTAGAAAGAAAGTGCGCAACATATAACAAACTTAAGAGAACCTCTGCTAACCTTCAGTGTCTGCTCTGATGTAAACATTCGAGGGCACCTGGGACAGCGAACATAATCTGCACGTCTGGAGTGTGTACGTAAATGTGAGGTTAAGTAACGAGCTCGAGCAAAGGTTCTTCCACAAATATTACACATGTGACTTTCTTTAGCTTCTTTAGTTTCTTTGCTGTGTGTTGCCTTCTGTACTGGATTATTACCCTCCTGTGGAACCTAGAATGAGATGAAAAAGATTTCTATATCCATGTACAGCATTACCCATAACTACTGTATCACGGAGCAGATGTAAATTCAATTAAATAATTTCAAATATTTTTTTTTACAGTATTTCCATATATATTTTACTTCTTTTCCTGTTGACTTGACTTCTCTATCATCAACTCTTAACCTGGCTTCTCTATCATCAACTCTTTCTACACTTCATTTCTTCCCTCCACAGTTAGGGAGAAATAATAGGCTGGTTAAGTTAAAGGATGAAGATCCCAATTTTCTCCAACATCAACCTACTACAGTGTGTAATTCTGAGCTCAGTTTATGAACAGTACCATTAACCTACTACATATACCTGATGACAGATCACAGGCTAAATACTGTAAAGACACCTCTTAATTTACACATGTTTGTTTTATGCCATTTTGGGAATAATGTGTGAGGCCCATTTACACTTCTTATTTTTAATTTACGTGGACTTATGTTTGGACACATCAACAATGGACTGGCAATACAATGTTGTGACATTGCCAGTGCCATATAAGAAGTGCGTATACATGTGACATGGTTATGCAGCTTCCGCACCTTGTGTGGATACAGTCTATAGTCATGGAGTGCTATAGTATTTTGTGCTACAGTATACTGCATGTGTTTTGCCCCTTGTATCATGCCACCAAAGTTTCCTTCAAGGTCTCCTGGTACCAGTGGTGCTAATAAGTGTAAGACCATCACCACTGAGATTAAGATGGATGTGCTCAAACGTTATGAGAGAAGTGAACGAACAGCTGATATTAAGCGTGCCCTTGAACTTAGTGAATCTACTTTATGCACTATTCGTGATGATGCAGAGAAGATCAAGGAAATTTCCAAGAGTGGAACATTAATCACACTTCATATTCCCAATGTTCCCATCAGCATGCTTGTGATACAAACAAAGGCCCAGAGTATTTTATATTTCCTGGAACAGGTTTCTGTAGTTTTTCACTGGTATAATACGTATTGGGTATTGTCTTATTAATAATGAAATCACCTAATCTCCACTATTTACATGGTTTGATTTAAGCGGGTTTTTTTTATTTACAGAACCATTTTCAAGAATGTAATTATCACGTAAACTGCAAGGTGCCTGTATACTAGGTGACATTAAGGTTTATTTTTACATACAGTAGTTCTGTAGATTCAAATATACCATAATACCTACTAAATATTCTGAAACCCTCTTCTTACTCCAAAAAAAGTATTCACGGTTCAATATACATCTCAATATTTACCCATAGAATGAAAAATAAAAAGATATCGAGAAATAAATAAAGATCTTTGTACTGTATTTGTTGTGTAGTTTCAGGGTGACTGTCATCCCCCTCAGCAATATATCTCAGACACCTAAATATAAAAGACATCCTTCTTATATAATTTATATTCATTAAAAGACTTACTTGATCCATCTGTGGTTGATGTGTACGCATGTGAACGGTTTCTAAATAAACGCGGCGCTTGAATGAAGAGCCACAAATTTTGCACTGGTGACGCTGAGTACCATGTTGTTCCTTGAAAAGAAAAGAAGATTATTAGGCACAGGCATCAGAGTTGGGGAAAGGAGGGAGGGAGGGATATAGCCTTATCATCTCTAATTAACTCTTTTGTGTCTTCAACCATCCTGTCATAAGTCTTTTTAATAACTCATTTGCCTGCTATGTGCATAACACCTAACTTTGTTCTAATCCATTCAACTTTCTAAACCTTTTTGATCCCACACAGTCTTCTTAATTCTTCATTCCTTTCTCTATCAACCCCCCCAAACACCCATTATGTTTTGCAATGTCAACCTATACTGCCTTCACTCTTGTTCTGGGATTAACACTGTTCTTGTTATGTGTATACTTGTGTTTAAGTTTGTATAGAGACATTGATTAACTATTGCACACTTCATCAGTGTTGTAGTGTATCTTGTACATAAACTAGTAAACTTTTTTTTTTGCAAGCACAGTCTACTCACAAACTATAATTTTTAATTAAATCTTTACTTTTACTCGGATTAAAAGTGACCTTATTGCAACATGGAATGATAGATAATTTCTTGGAAGAAATCCATTGCAAAATATTAGAGTTGAATGGGATTTTTAATCTGAAATGTTTACCAAACCATACCATATATGTTCATAACTTTTTCAAGTACAGTACAGTAAGTGTAACAAGTATTTAATAAACTACACCAACCTTCATTACATATCTATCTAAGATCTTCTCTGGATTATGGTGTTGTAAGAAATGTAAACAAAATACAGCTTTGCAAGATATTTGATACATCCAACAATGGTTTTCATCCAGTGAATGGCAGGTCGTGTGGGGCTTGGTGGCCGCAATATTCAAAACGGTGGCCACATGTTAACTTATGCTAGCTCACATATAGATGGGTTTCCTTCATGATAAGCAGAGAAGGGGCACAAATAATTTCACATATTTAGGTAGTTCCACGTTGCTGAGATGGTAACGTTATTAAGTGATGGTTTTGTCGATTATGTCCTTTTATATTTGTATCTATTTCACTTGTTTTCTTTATCTTATATATAATTTATCATATTCTGGGGTCATCTGGGAACCTGTGTGTCAAATGGGGGAATTTGGAGCTTAATCAAGTACAGTACTGGTGAACGCCTCCCCATATAAGATGCAGGGTGATTTTTGGAGGCTTTTGGGGAAAAAATTAATCTTGTATGGCAGTAATTACTGTGTAAAAAAACAGTAAACAACCTCAGCATATTGTGGAATGAAGTAATGCAAGCTACCATGAATCCTGTATAGAAGAAACTGGCTGGAATGCATTCATGGTCTGCGAGGGTTTCATAACATTCCAGACATCCATAAACAAACTATCAGGTTGGCGAGGGAAACTGGCTTTAATGAAGTTGACCAGGATGACATCAGTGGAAGAGTTGCTGGATTCTGATGCAGAAGATTTGTTCAAGGAGGATTTCATTTTACTTCAAGAACTAAAAGCTGCCAAGAAAGAGGAAACCGATGAGAAGTCAATATTAACACTAAAGCATCACATCACCAATGGCTGTCAAAGGCTTCAAACTTGGTCAAACCTGGAACACATCATAAATTCTTGTCACATAGTCGAGGGAGCCCTTTGGTGTTATAGGGAGCTCTTTATGTAGCCAAGAAAAAGAAAGCCATCCAGACATCTCTCAGACGTTTAAGAAACCTTGTACATCAGCCACCATCACCACAACAGCCACCATCACCGGCTCCACACGGGAGTAACATCACTACGCCTCTTCTCCACCCATCTTAACATGCAGATTTGACACTACACTTTGGTGAGTACCCTGAAAAGGTTCATTATTTTTTCTTTTAACTGATTTACTGTTTGTTTGTTTTTTTCATTAACAGTTAAAGACTTCACAATTTACAAAATTTTGGGACCCGAAAGTATTTAGTTTGTGTTTTGAATTCACCCCTTTCTTAAATAAGAAGAATGATTGTATTGCTTTAACTCCTTCTAGAACAGGTCACTGTTTTCTCCAAAGTTTTCATTCATGTCAAAATTATCAACTACAGTACTTTTCTCTTACCCCTTTCTTAGCATCTTCAGCATCTCATTCAAAACCTCAAACTCTTTCCTCGTTATCTTACATTTCTCATTGAACAAATAAAATATACATATTTGATGACTAAGCACACTATCAAATATAGTATACTATACATGAGCTCAACAAATAAATGATTTACAGATAAGATTACGATATTGTTCATGTAAAAGAAAATTATCTTAATAGTATTTATTACAGTTGCTAATCTACTAAGACAGTTATTTACAGGCTTAAAATTATATAAAAAAAGATTCATAATGCACACTATGATGAACACATTGTGACTAACCCGAAAATGCCGCGTATAATCCCTCCGTCGCACAAAGCATTTCTCACATATTTTACACACATGTGGTCTTGATCCTTCATGGGTACGCTTGTGTTCTGTTAGATCACGCATATATCTGTTGAGAAGCAATATGTTAGCAACAAAAGACAAGACACTAATGGGCAACTAATTCTCACCTCTTTACACCTCTTTAAATTTAATTACAAGATTTTTATTGATTTGGCCATGTCAGAAATGAAGAGGGTGATCAAATTTTATGACATATGAGCATGAAATCTGAAAGTCTTCCTACCTCTAAACTATATTGGCCCAGCAGTAATGTGCTTGTCTTTCACTACTGCATCATAGGTTCAATCCTCATGTCATGTGTGAGAAGGGTGTTATCCAGTGTGACTCTACCAAACATCACATATTTTCTCTGAGTACTCCTGTTTCCTCCTGTAATAACACTGGATAATGAAGGTTGTGACAAAGAACCAACTGATTGACCATGTTGTTAATAAGCTGACAACAGATGGAAATGATAAATTAAACCAAAAACAAAAGAAAATAGAAAATTACATTGAGGCAGCGGTTAACTTCCATCAGTAAGAGGGTGCTAGTAAGTACACTAGAGTTTATGAGACAGGAAACTGATGTGTTTGATGCTGATATGCTGTAATGTAGCTGACACATGATAAATGTGGAGCACACATGCTAATGTGGTAAATAAGACTCTGACCATTCAATGTCAGTGGTAACATACCCTTCACAATAATCCCCTTTGAGGACTATAGTTGCGGTTAGGAAGAACTAACTAACTCGGAAGTATTTTCTGTAGCTACAAGTTAACCGTTTTGGACTACTTCTGAAATAGTGCCTGTCACACCTGTCAAAAGTCCCTAAATCCTGTGTTTCCAACCCCATACACTCTTGACCAAACTTCAATTGCCCAAGATGTACATAGACTATATACTCGATACAGTAATTATTTATTAATATTAAACACCAACATATAGTACAGTAATATCCAACCTGAATGACTTGAAGCACTGACTGCAGACATGTGGGCGTGCTCGTGTGTGAGTCAACATGTGTGTCTTCAAATTGTATTTTTCCGTAAAAGCTTTATCACACACTTGGCATCTAAATTTTTGACTGTCGTGTGTGCGTTGGTGTCTCTCTAAATGAGCTGAAGTCTGGAAATTCTTTCCACATGTGGAACACTGGTAAGATGGGTCAACCCCACTGTTGTTAGGTAGTTCATTATCTGCATCTCTGAAAAAGTATAATACTGTAATAACAATGCATGCTTATCTGTAGATTAAATAACAATAAATAACCACATAAATTGACACAGAGCTAAATTGTTAGCTGGGATGATCAGACAAGTTGCGGCATAACTATATCATATGAGTTGGAAAAGAAAATTCCAGATTGTGTATGCAATGTTCACTAAGAAGAAGACATACAGTACTTGAACTGTGATAATAATACAACATAACGCTCTTAAGAAGAATTCACGTTATTTCTCTAAAGCATAAATGTAATTCAAGCAGACACTCCAGAGCATAAACGAGGAAAACCTTGGTGTTTGTGATGCTTCCTTCTCCCAGTAGTGTTTTGTTCGTGACTCGGCCTTGGATCTCCGTGGTTGAGTCTGAATAATTTCTACACTCACTTCGTGCACAGGGTTTTGGCTCATACCTTCTTCTTCCTGTAGTGATGAAAGAATGTACATTATATAGAATCAGGTAAACCAACAAAGAGTAGATTTCATACAATACTTTGAAGATTAAACCAACATATAGTAGATTTAACCCAGTACAATACTTTACTTTGAAGATTAAACCAACACATAGTAGATTTAACCCAGTACAATACTTTACTTTGAATATTAAACCAACACATAGTAGATTTAACCCAGTACAATACTTTACTTTGAATATTAAACCAACACATAGTAGATTTAACCCAGTACAATACTTTACTTTGAAGATTAAACCAACACATAGTAGATTTCATGCAATACAGTACTTTACTTTGAATATTAAACCAACACATAGTAGATTTAACCCAGTACAATACTTTACTTTGAAGATTAAACCAACACATAGTAGATTTCATGCAATACAGTACTTTACTTTGAATATTAAACCAACACATAGTAGATTTAACCCAGTACAATACTTTACTTTGAAGATTAAACCAACACATAGTAGATTTCATGCAATACTTTGAAGATTATATGTTATCACAATAAAACCCCAACATCTCTACAAATATGACAAAAATTTCTTATGACAAATTACCCCATGATTTATTCCCTATCTACCTGACAAACAAGGATGTTACAGTCACAACTACTGATCAATCAACCTAGGAATGGTTGCCTCTGTGACTGCTAAAAGTTTAATGCTAGTCCCTTATAGGAGGTTTGGTTCAAAGTTTAATAATTCCATTCAAGTATGTAACAAACTCTTAAAGATGCATTTAATGCTTCATGATATTAAGAATGCTCCCCTGTACATGATTCATTTGTTACATTTCTAGTATAGTATTGTTACAAATCCCTGTCTGGGGTATCTCCTTCACCAATTATTCCACATTGTCTCATGACCATCTCCTCCTGGATACACACACTGTTTATCAACCACACCATGTGCCTCACCATTCTTGAGTCTGTCTCACCTCTTCCTAACATAAAATTTTTCCTCTTTCAGCTTTATACTTATCATTCCTCCATGTCCCAAATAAAATGACACACATCTGTTTCTCCTCATCTGTTATATGCAGTAAATGGTCAAAATATGCTATACATCTCACTTTCATATCCTAATACTTCCAAAACAAATCCCCTTTATCATTCTTAACTGTCATTCCATTTGTTCTAAGTTGGTTTTTACCTTAATCAAAACCTTTCAAAATGTCTCAGAACACCTTCTCTCTCTATACAGTATATAGGCTATAGAGTAACAATGCATTTTTTAGTAATGAGCCCTACACTAAACCACCATGACACTTGACTCATCGTTAGAGCTTCTGTCAAGGGAATAAGCATAGTTAAAGACAATGTAAGTCAATATGTAACAAAGAGAAAAGTATATAAGAGTGAAAGGTGATCAAAACTGTAAATTTTGGAGGAACTGTTTACATGTGACCCTACAGGAAAAACCCTTTACTGGGTAAGTGACAATAATAGTCTGAATCTATTTTCAAAATGTCTTACAGCCTGATCCTCAGTGACTAGTGTATCATGAAGGGCTGATGAAGTTGGTCCATGAATCCCTTCCTCATCTGGTACAGGAAGTCCCACTATGGACTGTAGAAGGTTTGAACTATCTTCAGTGTTTGACTGTTCTGTAAAGCAAAATAATTAAAACTTTATCTACACAGTATAAATATGAAATATGCAAAACAGTCAAATAATAAGTTAATATTGGAGTGAAAAGGCTTGGTGGGGGGTACTCTTCCATAAGAGATAAATTGATAGTAATATTCCCGTTAATAGGAACAATTGGTGCAGAGCGTTTATGGGTTTGAGAGATTTCTGGGTATTGAGACAAATTCTCTTATCCCCCCCAAAAAAAAATTGCACATCTATGGAATTTTTCTGGGCACTGGTAAATGTTTCCCTGTCTAAACTATGGCATGGAGCACTGTTGCTCTGGAGGCTTAACTGCAGTTGGACAGACATAGAGCACCTCACATGGACCCTCACCTGGAAAGAAGCCTGTAATTTAAATACCTGTACAACTTGACTGCTGGACTTGCTGCCCCCTATAAGGAACTCATGACCAATAGGAACAATTGACCAAGAAGCCAAACATCATGCATTTGTCAAGCCTTTCACTCCAAGCTCCACACCTGCTGACTCACCTGGCCCATCAACCTCTGTCATGACACCTACTGCACCTCCCAGCAGTTCCTTGGTATCACCTCTAGATGTCACGATACCAGCAACGTCCAGCAGTGACAGTAAGATGACCCTACTCCACCCTTACCACACCACATGCAGGTCACTACCACACAAACCTACCTGTCTTGTCTGTATCTGTAGGTGAGTACAATACTTAACAAACTTTCATTTATATATTTTTTATTATTTTTAACTACTGTTTTGTGTGTTAAAGTAGCCACATCCCTAGTTTTTGCATTATTTTAACCTATTATTCGATTTATGCAAGTATACCGAGGATCATATCCCTCACATAAAGCAAGAACCTACTGTATTCCTCGCCCCTCCTTTTTTTTTTACATGAGCTCAAATACACGTAAGAGCAGAGAACGTACTGTATGTATAAGAACATATTTTATTATGATCTTCCCACTTAGTAATAACATTCAGGCCTCTGACTTAATCTCAAAACTAACTAACATTTTCCATAAAATCTCAGCATTGACAAACATTCTGTACTTAACCTCAACCCTGACTTACCTTCAACAGTTTTCTGCAGTGGGAGGTTATTGACTAGCACTGATGAGGGAGAGTGTTGCTTCACTTGTTCATCTGCAACTCTTGATGATTCACTTGGCATGAATGATGACATAGGGTCATTGTGAGAAGGTTCAGCCAGTGTGAGGAGGACACTGGCCATGGATGTGTTTGCTTGATTATTGAGGTTGCACGGCTGTTAAAAGATTATTTAATTAGTGGACGTGATCCAAAAAATTTAATAAATTACAATTAAGATGACTTTATTCTTTAAAGTTTCTGGAGGGTTGCAATACAAAGAACTGTAACTCAGATCAATCAATACTTTCCAGAGCAAATAATGAGATATAAGAATAAATGCTATCAAATGATTTTCATATACAGTAGTGTATTGTAAAATAATGAAACTCATCAAATTAGATTAACCTTTACAATTTCTCCCTACCATTAACCAGTTCTCACATTTGTGTAATCTGTATGACAAACATTGAAGTATACCTCTCACAAATATCAATATGGTAATTTACCTTTGGTTGAGGTAGAAGAGTAGTGGATCCAGTTGATACACTATTAAAAGGCAATGAACCCATTAACAAGACAGGGGCACTATCATTCTGTGTAGTACCAATGCCTGCATTTCCCATAATAAAAGCAGAGTTTTCCCCATTGCTGGTTTGGTGGGGAAGGATGGCAGGGAGCATAGCTGTATTCTGCCCTACAGAAAGGTTTACAGCAGCAGAATCACCTGCAGGAAGCAGAACACCTCCATCACTACTATTGGGAATTGTGATGGTGCATAATGATGGCTGTTTCTCTTGTTTGTCTAGTACATGATTAACTTTTCTTTGATGCTTTGGCTGTGTTTGTTGAGGGCCTGCCAGAAAACCTGTCATTGTAAATACTGCTTGCTTTTCTTGATTCTTGGTAGGGTTTAATGCTGTTGAATGAGGTACAGCAGAAAAGCCTGCAGGAAGAACATTGACATTTGGATACTGAAGAATTACATTATTGGTTTCTAGCTGCTGTGTAGTCACATTCGCTGTAGTTGGTGCAATGATGAGAGGCACCTGTGGTGAACGGTCCCCTACTTGCAAGAGACATTGTGGGGTGGACTGTGAGTTATTGAGGGGCATGCAGATTTGAGACTGCATATTACCCCCATTATTTATCTGAATGGGCTGAGATGATTGTGGGGTAAGGTAGGTTGCTGCACCCCCCTGAACTGCCAGCAAGTGAGATGAGTGAACTGCTGTTACATGAGCCACACAATCTGCCTGACTTCCATAATGCAGACCACACACAGAACACTGAAACATCACATGATGATTTGATGCAACATGAAGATCCAAGTGTGTTTGTGAACACATTAATGCCCCACATGGTCCACACTGTAAGGGTGTGGTAGCCTCAACCCCACACTCAGCACAAGTAACCCCAGACACCCTCACAAAACCCTGAACCTCTCCTTCTACTGTTGCTGTTACATTCTGACCACCTTTATGTTCTGGCTGAATGTGGCTATTTTCAATTACAGTGGGAATTGATATTGTTGCAGAGGGAACTAATATAGATGTTGCTCTCAGAGGAGTCTCCTGAGTAGGTGGAGGGTCATTTACTGCGAGAGATGCAATGGCTAAAGGACTATCTTGAAGTGAAGTTGGGTCATCTGGGTTGTCAACTTCCTCTGCATTCTCACTTCCAGATTTTCTTGTTTTCCTCACTGTGCCGGAGAAGCCACATAAAACTTGCTGTACTTTGCGACGCTCCAGAGAGCACACACTTTCCACAGCTTGTTCCATAATTGGATTGAGGTCTTGACTACCCATTTCTGGCACAACATAAACCTGAAAATGCAGTTACGGACAATATAACCATAATTTAAATAATGCTGATGTACAGAATCTCGCAGCTTTAGTAATATACAATACAGTACAACTTTAAGTTATAAGTCCAAAAATAAATTAATCAAATATGAAACCCCATCTTATTGCCGAGAGTTAAAGAGAGACCCACAAGCCTCGGCTTAATGGACACGCCAAGATAATGTACCAGTGTCATAGAGTACAGTATCCAGTGATAGGACATATTTAAATGAGGTACGATTGTTGAAAAGACGAATCATCACCCAATCACACCAAGAGACTTTAACAACCCTTATGGTGTTCTGATCATCCTAGGAAAATTTACTGTATAAAGCTGTTAAGAGCTCTATTTGTTCTTAAAAGATATTTATTTTCCTTCTGTATTTTTAATTACCAGTACCTTGTCCTGTGTGAGCCAATAACATCTCCCTGTGAGCCTCCTACACTCATCACACATGTTCCAAGCATCCTACCCCTTCCTTGGTTACAATTCACCATGATGGAGGATGGTAGCGCACATCAGTGAAATACAGTAATAATATACTGTTGTAGGGCCTTCATATATCATAAGAATGGGGTCAAAATTCCCCCCCCCCCCAAAAGGTGAATTGCTCTATATTAATCTATGTATTTTAAGAGGAAATACTGTATAAGGTATGGGACTGCACACACACAAATAAATAAATAAATAAATAAATAAATATATATACACGCACACACACACTAGCATGAACTCTAAGAGGAATGGATAACACAGTTCACAGAAATCTTGCCAAATTTCTCAGTTGATAAATATATATAATTGTACAACACATACTGTACTTTACAGGTATTGATAAATCTAAATAATTTTTATTCTTTCAGGATCAATTTACCATCCTACCTCATGTCTGGATTTCTTGTTGGTTCCATCAAGCCTTTCAAAAGCCAGATTATGTTGCTTCTGGAGATGATTTCTAAGGTCTTGGGAATATGCATAACTTTGTGCACAGACACCACACACCTAGAGCAGAAGTCAACGATAAGTGATCTTAAATTTCTGATGCTTAGTTTTTTATATACAGTAACTGGAATGATTTCAAATTATCTAATGCACTTTGAGTGAAAGATTTAACTTGTTATTATCACATGCTAAACAGCTTGAGTTCTAATCCATTATTAACAAAAATTATTACAATAGTTCTCGCAAAATTCAAAGGATAAATGTTTAGCTACAAAACCCAGTAAGACACCTGAAACAATACTGTACAGTACTTTAATCATAAAAATGTAGAGAGAGAAAAGGGTATGCTACTGTTGGTGCATTATGTGCTGCTGTCTCTATACAAGCACAGTACTGTACTGGTATTATCTCCACAACAATATATATCTTGGTTTGACAGGCTCAACTTATCTCTTTTACCCAGCGTTTGAGATGATGATGAACCATTAGGCGGTGACGCAGAAGATTAGTCTTGTCTCCAAATGTCTTGCCACATTCAAGACACGCTTCTTTGTGGTTTCCGTGGATCATACGATGGTGTGCTCGGCATTGCTGGATTAACAAAAAGAAAGTTTGAGTTGAGGCAATTATGGGGAGCAGGAAATATTCCCTAAATAATTAGCATCACCATACAGTATAGTGGATAACTAACAGTGTAAGGTAAGGGCTTAGCTCAAGCTAAACATGTAACATATCAGTGACCTGATTGCCCTCACTAAATGACCTAACATGTTGCTAACCAGCTGTCAGAGCCCTGCAAATTTTCTTATATGTCCTAATACAAAACACAAAGGTGTACTCAAGAGTGTATATTAGGTGTAGATCTGACTACCTCTAGGGACTGGTGGCTCACTCAATGCACCTCTCCCAACCAATATTCAAACTGGAACTTTCTTTAAATTCCAAATTGAGCTACACAAGACTATGCTCTCTAAAGCCTCATGCCAGACACCAAAATCTGAAGTAAAATTATCCCATAACAGGCAGAGCTGTGTAACATGTCATCTTAAATCACCTGGCATTTCGTCAAGGATGACAGAAACAGGTTTTAAGTTTCACTTATTTATTCCTTGGAAACACATCAATAGAACTAACAACAGTGCAAAGCAATATTACCATTGGATGAAAATGTTTACAGCAAATGTAGAGTTAAGAGCAAGCTGTGAGTGGGTGATCAAATGAAGATAAAAGTACAAAGACAAATAATACAGCTACAGTAATACTGCAGTCATCTAGGTAACTAGCAAGAAGAAATAAAGCACAGTGATTCGTCTCACTACTAACTTGTAGACGTTTGAAGCATTTGCCACATGTCTCACACACATAAGGCTTTTCCCCTGTGTGGATTCGCATATGCACTTGAAGTTGGCTCGCATATGCATAGCGTTGTGGGCACTTGGGACATGACAGCCTGAAATTAAAAGTACAAAGACAAATAATACAGCTACAGTAATACTGCAGTCATCTAGGTAACTAGCAAGAAGAAATAAAGCACAGTGATTCGTCTCACTACTAACTTGTAGACGTTTGAAGCATTTGCCACATGTCTCACACACATAAGGCTTTTCCCCTGTGTGGATTCGCATATGCACTTGAAGTTGGCTCGCATATGCATAGCGTTGTGGGCACTTGGGACATGACAGCCTGAAATTGTAATATTCAGCTGTCATTATACAATGACCATCACCATTAATGCATACAATACACAGTACATGTACAGGGTTGCCACATAAATTTAAAAAATAAACTACCTGACCTGTGGCAACCCCGAGTGTAATATCATTCCATACTTTTATAAAAATCTGTCAAAGAGATTGTAAACTTCAAGAAATGCACAATAGACTATGTATGAAAATATACCACAAATAATTAACTAAAAAAAAAATTAGATAATTACTTTGTTTTATGTGAAGGATCATGGGTTCTAGCGTGGATAGCCAGACGACGAGCAGACATAAAGGTTTCATCACAATTGCTGCAGGCAAACTTGAAATCATGGGTAGCCATGTGTCGCTGCAGACTGCGAGGACGAACATAATTACGGCCACATTTGTCACATGACCAAAGTGGTTCCTTCTCACCATGGCTAACCAAGTGCCTAAGTGGAGGAAATGCACGTTCAAGGAGAAAAGTAATGAAATAATTAATTCAACAATATTAATCACAACAAAAAATCAATCAATTTGAAATGAAGCTTCGACCATACAAAAAGGTGTAATTAAGTGGAGGTGAATTTTGAATCAATATGAAATAGAATTGGATCTAAACTTAAAAAACATACAGCAGTTTCAGGAAAGTACAATACTTTATACCATACAATTGAGAATTAAGGTGATAAAAGAAGTGAAGACAATATACATGAAGAAAATGTTCAAATGATTATATTTAAGCACTGTAGTGGAAAACATGAAGAACTGATGTGAGAAACTCCATTTTATGACCAAAAGGAAGAAAAGTGTGGTCTCTGAAATCCATACGCTAACCATCCTTTGGCAAGCCCACCATTAAGGTATATTTAACTGCAGTATACTGACTCTGTGAAACAAATGCCAGATACTGTTGCCACCTGTGAACAGCACCTCTCTCACCAGTCACCAAGATGGCTCAGGATCTGTAGTAAACTCGAGATCCATTTAGGATTTATGTCAAGGATCAACACTTTTCAGTTCCTCAAGTGATTTCCAAACTTTTTATGCCATAAAAGGAATTTCACATGTAAATCCTTACAGTTCCTGCTGATTTCTAATTCCTTTAAAATAGGAGGAAAGAAAAACAGGTCACTCACTTCTTCTCTTCAGTCAATCGCTAATTCATGACAAATGGAGCATCAACAAGTAGTAATTGTGATTCTTAACCAAACAGGAATGGAATGGAGTACTGTATATAATTTGTCAATACAGTAGTGTTACTGTATGCACCATAAGTATGTTGTATCATTTCTATGATATTTATATTGACTTATTCACATCCAAAGGCTAAAGTATGTAAAACAAATGAAAAGTTTCATTGGTCAGAAATACTTCAAAACTCTGACACAAAAACAAAAGTGCAAACTAAGGAAGCGTTACATTACAAAAGACTCGAGACATTTTAAAAAAGAACTTACGACTCAAGATGAGTTTTGGTTGTAAATTTTCTATCACACATGGAACACTGCAGCTTTTTTGATTCATGATTTATCTGAGGATAAAATAAATACCCAATATTAAAACCTTTAATCTCATTTTATAATATCCCCATTAAGCATCAAACTGTTAAATACCAAGAGTTAAATAATCAAGACCATGGCCTTCATTAAGAGAACCCACCATGTAAAATATATTGATAGAGATATCATCAAAAATCAGGAAGGACAATGAAGTAATATTTCTAAAAAAAAATGGATGTAAACCATACGTCTGGCATTGTGATTATAAACAAATACTGTAAAGAGTTCAGATAACTAAATCATGAAAATAACCAATTTACAGCAGCCCTTTATTCCATACTTTGTGTACACGAGCCATGTGTTCTATGAGATGGGCCCGTGTTCTCACGCGACGTTTGCAAGTCTGACACTGATGCCGGCCAAGAGAACGTGCATGTGTGCCACGGTGTCTACTGAGAGCTGATTCTGATCCACAGGTCTTCCCACATTCTAGACATCGATGCTCTGGCATAACTGCAAAGGATATTGCCATAATTAAAGCTGACAGAATTTGAATGCTGTGTTGCTAAATAAATCCACATGAAATAAAGAACAATGTGATCTGTTGGTCTCGGGTTCAGAATTTGTAATGTTTGCAAAAATAACCAATGTTATGTCAGACAACAATCACCATCTGACAAAAATAAATCGGAATCACACACCTTTATTTTTGTCTGCCCCTTGCTGGCTTGTATCTTGAGAGCTATGGACTGTCATATGACGCTTCAGTTGCTTCACACTCAGGAATGACTTCTGGCATTTCAGACATATAATTGCCTGAAGAAAAATATATTGCATTATCACATCATTATCATCATTATTAGTAATTCCATCACAACAATAATAAGAGATAAAAGCACTCTCACAGATGACATATGTATCTATAGTACAGTATAGTCTTGGACCTCTAGATTCTCATAAAAGAATGAGTGAAGTGTACAGTCTCGTCTTATCACCAGGGAGAGGAAGGATGTGACCTGTGACACATCTAAACAAGACTTGGTAAGTAATGAAGCAGCAGTACAGTACTTCATTAGTCTACTGATATGGGTTTGGGGATTTATTCTTTAGTTTAGTACAGAACTTTACACTTTTTATATTTTTACAGTACAGCACTTTTAATTGAAATTATACAGTATCTGGTAAAAATAACATAATAATTTGGAATCTGGTTGCCATGATGATTGATTATGACTTTGTGAAGTTGTTGTAGAAAACCAATTAAAATTTGTTGATAATATTAGAATGGAACCTCAGTAATAAGGGCACTCATGGGATTTGGGGCAGTGCCTACTTTAGTCTGGTAGTTTCTTTAGTGAATATGAATAAAAAATCTCATAAAGAGAATTTTTGAAAAATATTCAAGAACACATTTGTAAATAAAGCCTATTATGCTGTACATATTGAGTACTGTACAGTTGTTGACCAGGACTCCATGCTTAACCCTGGCTAACCTGCACTCCCTATTACAAGCCATAACATATACCGAGATGAGTTTGATGGTGTTAACTCGGACCCTTCCAGTGCTAACTTCACTAGGAATTAAAAGTGGATTTATTCCTGGCTTGCTGACTAATGAAGTATTTTTACAGCTGAAAATGATCTATATGACTATAGACTGGTGCTTAATCATGTACACCCACTAAAAAGTTATTCGGCACCCTTACGGCGTGATACAATATGACACGGGTGCTGAATAATTTTTTAGTGGGTGTACAACACCATGGTAATAGCAGACACTGGTGAAGGTATCTCACAGGTCAGTCATTGATGACTTCTTAGCCATAAATGAGATTACATGCACCTGCTTTAATCCACCCAATATTGCATTCCTCTTATACCTGTACAGTAATTGATTTTCAAAAACTCTCCAGAATAATGTCAATCTTTGCCATTAACACCGACACTCCAACTTCCAGAAATTAAAAGCAAGAGTACCGGAACATATCTTTATTTAAGAGTTACCAGTTTGTTAAAGGTAATACATACCTGATTGTGTCCAGCTTTATGTGTGGCAAGTTCCTCTGCTGAGGGCAAATATATGTTGCATAACCCACAACGGTACAGAGTTGGTCCTTCCTCCATAACCTTCTGCAGTACCTCCTCTTCTCTTCTTACTGCTTTCTTCTCTTCCTCCTCAACACCTGCTACAGCCTCCACCAAACAATTCACAACATTTTTAAATATGTTGCAATCCTCACTATCTGTAGCCTCAGACTGTCTGACTGAGCTGGATTCTAAATCTACAACATTTTTGTTTCTCCTTGGTTGGACACCTGAAACTGCATTGGGTGAAAAGCTCAAGTTCTCTAAAGTTAAATAATCATCAACTTTATATGAATTGAGGAGAGCCAGAGGGTTTTCACATAAGGATGAATATTTATCTAATAATATATCCATACGACGATCAGATGCATCTCGAGGGGATATAATACTATGGATCTGTTTGCCTGTCAGTTTGTGCTGATTTTGAAGATGGACTACAAGCCAGCTTTCATCCTCAGCTATATGCTCACACTCCTCCTGAGGACACTTCTGAGGCCTGTGACGCCATGAATGTACCTGCAGCACTCCACAATGGGTGAATCGAGCCCCACACATGAGGCAGCTGTGTGGCCGTAGCTGCTCTAAGTGCTGCTTGGCGTGTGCTACTAGCTGATGCTGAGCAGAGAACTTACGCGAACAACTTGGGCATGCCAGGGTAGCGAGGTGCTTGCGTACATGAGCCTTACATTCGGCAGATGTGGACAGCTGCGTACCACATACAGAACAAGCCACAGCCTTGTTCTTAATGCCATGGTGAACACGTAGATGCCACTCCTGTTGACTTTCACTCCAACACTCATGCTTGCACAGGAAACACTGCCAAACAAGAAACTCTCAATTACAATATAAAACAGACACATGGCGCACTACTGTAGACTGTCTATATTGCTGTACATAGTAAAATCTTTTTCAAAACCATTTTGCATTTTAGTTTAACATTATTTATGGAACCTTTTGAAAAAATATTAAACTTTGACACTGTCATCGTTTGAATAAATCAAGAAGTCAAAACTGACAATAATACTGCTGTGCTTTAACACTGATGTTAAATTCTAAGCACAAAAATTAAACACAGTAAATCTTTGCAAAAAAAGGGCATTTTTTCACATACATCTTGAATGTTGAATGTGGAATTCTAAAATCAGATAAAATAAGGTTTAATTACTGGTGTACTGAAGAAAGTATGTTTGGGAAAAGATAAAAGTTATCTGTATAGTACATTAAATACTGTAGCTACAGTACTGTAACTACATATAGTAATAATGTTGATATGGAAATGTACAACATACACAGTAATTCAGAAACTGTATTTTTATGCTAAAATCATGTACAGTAATCTGATCCTTACCATGAATGACTTGATGTCCTGCTGCTGATGTTGTTTAACCAGGTGATGTCTAAGTGTGGCAGCTGATGGAAGAACATCAGTACACATTGTGCACCTAAACCACTCTGAAGATCCCTGTTCTTCTGGGTCTGCTGCCACGGTTCTTGGTTTTCGATGAAACGGAGCATAAATTGTTGCATGAGTAATTTTGGCTTCTTTTCGTGGACCTTCTGGAACATCCTCAGATATTATACTTAATTTCCTTTTACGATTTACAGTGGCGTTAACCTGTATATTTTTCATCACATCGGGAGGTAGCGATGAAGTAATAACTTCATTGATATGTTTCGTGTGAATTGTAGCCGAGTTTCTGGTTAATTTAGCTAATTCGGTTGTGCCACACGATGGTGCGTTACAACTACCTTCATGTTTGTTGTTTGTGAGAATGATTGTTGATGAAACATTGTCATGGTTTCCAGTTCCTGATGCAGGTACATCTATATGATGAACTGGTGAGTCAGTCTTTTCTATGTTAAGTTTATCTTCTGTGGAACTACTGTTAGCAGGATATATTCTTAAATGGGAAGTGCCTCCTACAGAATCTGGCTCAGAAGAAGCAGTTACATGGCCAGTAAGGGAATCATTTATCAACAGGGAATTATCATCCAAACTTACAATAATAACTTCCTTTTCTGATATAGGGAAACACTGAAACATCACACCTTCTTCACTCACCAAGAATGGAGCAGAGTTCAGCTTCAATAAATCCATCTTTGTTTCTTTTGGCTCTCCACTTTCTTCTACATCAGCCAAAATCCCTGAACTCTCTTCAGTCCTTGCTTCAAAATTTGTGGAAGAGTCTAATCCAGCAGTGTCAAGAATTGACATTCTCTCTGTTAAGCCAACATTAGTGTCAGAAAGATCATTATGTTGGACTTCTCCATCAGTCTCATCTATTTCAAAGATTGGCACCTCCTCTAAATATCGACAAGGATGTGCAAGCATTGAATCAACCTTAATCAAGCTTTCCCTATCAAATTTTGAAGCTAATTCACAAAACTCTGATCCCAGCAAAGATGAAGATTGGGCAGTATCTCCTCCAGATCCTGTAGGTGTGGACTGTGTCATGGTTCGAGAGAAGGTGACCTGCAAACCAGGCACAAGACTATTGTGGTGGTTGGTACTGAGTATCCTCTTGTGGGTGTTGGATTCTTCTGTATGTTTATGTTCCATGATTATGAAAGATACTCCTCAGTACACTGAATATTGAAAATTTTTTGTTTGTTATTTTGTCCTATTTGATGTTTTAACAATCACACCTGCAAAAAAGTAAAAAAGTAATTAATAGGTAGCCTTATTATAATGCCAGAATAACTTTTAACATGTCCCAAGACATTGAGGTATAAATAACCAGGATTATTATGAAAATACTGTTCTACAGTATACAGTACAGCATACTTCAGAACAGTGTCTGAGGGTTTTTCAAGCAACACTTCAAGTTTGAAGGCTAGAAGCATAAGTTAAATGCACTATTGGTGCGTGAACAAATGAGTTATCCATATATGTTAACAGAAATTAAGGCAACAGCATATATTTTCTACGAAGAGAAGATTTATAGGTTAAACAGGAGATGTCCAATTTTACCAGAAATGGGTAAAGGTGGAGGAGACGGTTATTGCTAGAAAAAAAAATAATGAAATGGTGTATGCATGATACTAAACAAGAAAATGGAAATGACAATACACAAAACCTAAGAGAACCTGACCTAACATTACCTAACCTAACCAGAGGGCAGTCTTGATCCTCCACAAGCACAGTTAACTTGCAATACGAGAAACAACAACCCGAACAGGACGTCATAACTACTGTACACCATTGAAAAACAAGATGGCTTGTTTCTCTCTGAGGAAGAACAATGAGCAATAAGTATAGAACCATACAGTTCACTTAGAATCCAATGATACTTGAAAGAATTTGAAAATGTTTCCAAACCCATATTATGAGATTCGATTCCAACTACTATATATGAATCTCGTCGATTATACATAGAAGAGGTTCAAAAACCATATGTACAAAGAAGAAAAGGATTTGCACACGCCATAAAAAATCCCCAAGGAAAGTGAAACCTATTCAATTAAAAACAAAGACAACCAAGCCAATAGATATGGTAAAGCCTCCAATGAGAGCCTCCATCATTTTTATATGCTTTCAAATACTGTACCAGAATCAACAACATTATAGTTTAAGAGCAGACGAGAACAATTGGCTCTAAAGTTGAATTGGCGGCAAAATATTTATGGTAAAAAATGTATTTCTTCATCTACAAAGCATCAAGGGGCATGAAATTACTGTCACATGTTCCATGTTTTACCCTGTAAATTCCCTCTTCTTTTATGCTCTGTCCACAACAGATGATTTATTAACGTTTTCTGGTAGTTGTTGTTTCCTCATAAATTACCCAGAAATGGACCAAAATCCCACAGTTTTCCATCCTACTAAAATCAGTCATATTTCAGTGATTATTTTTCTCAATTTGCCAAAGGCAATTACATAAGATAAGAAATATTGAGAAAAATCATGAACCCTGGAAAATACAACAATTCAAGTGTAACAATATCTGGATTTAGAATTTCTCTGGAAGTTACCTTAGAAAGATAAGAATAACAAGATTGCAGGCAGCTACTCCCTGGGTGGCTGTGAGCTGTTCTTCAGGTACAGAACAGACTCAATAAAAATGGTTAGTTTGATGTGCACACTTGGTATGAGCATTAATAAATGTTTTTTTCTTTTATCTACACTTAATTTTACGTTATTTCCTCTTACTCCAAACATCAACCTGTCAACTTCCTCTCACTTTTCTCCTTTAAATCTTTATATAATCGTCATTTCTCACGTTATTAATAAATATATCACTGTACGAGAAAGGCAACCAGTTACATTTTTCTATTATAATTAAATTAATTCGTTGTTCTTCAAATAATAATAACCCAAAATAACTTAAATTTACGGTATCCTTAATATTATCTCCAGGTCATGAATCAATGGTCTCATAAGAAATTACAGTATATATAATTCGTAAAGCTTATTTTATTTACTTAATATAATTCTTAAAGCTATTAATAGAACAGAAAATAACTTTGAACCATATTATTTTCAGGAATCAATTGTTTATAATAGCAAATTTTCTATTACATAATCTGAAGTACATAGGATATAAGCTTCTTGTTCAGGGAATAAATTATGGGGAGGAGTATGTATGAAATATGGGCAAATATTATCAAACGAGTATAGAGCTGCACACTATCATAGCCATAAAAAAAGTAAAAGTGATGCTTGTGTCTCTGAATGTGTCCCAGGTTCGATCCCCGCCGTGGGTCAGATGTGAGATGGGTGTTAACCAGTGTGACCCTTCAGAAACATTTTATGGACACTCTGGTTTCTTCCTATACTAACACTGCACAATGAAGGTCCTTACAAAATAAAACCCCAGACAGACTGGCTGAATGGCTAGAAAGCTGATGAGTGGTGGCAATTATAAAAAAAAGAACAGTGTTTAATACCTCAAATACCGCATTACAATATATAACATGTGTTTCTCATCATCAACATCTAGTGCTTTTACTTTACCAAGGACTATCTGACAAAACAGCCTATTTCCTGAAGGGTCCTTTAATTTCCACTTACACTACCTTAACATTCTGTGTATCACAATAAATTGATATTCATCTTAAGTGAATTAAATACTATGTAAATAATAATATATCATATTTCTGATGATACTATATTTATATTGTTATTAATGCACGTCTAGGCAATAAGTTAGCACAAGTTAAATAAGTAAAACTGTTTGTCCTGGTCCACCATTTTCTCTGAATGTAACTCTTAGCAGAAAACGTTTATTTACATCATTTGACATTTGGCGCCGAGGCTGACGTGTGGCATATCCTTTAAAATGAGTAAAAAAGAGGCAGAGGCAACAGAAAAGATTAAAAGCTACTTAGAACAGCAAAATCGTCCATACAGCGTCAATGACATCTTCATGAACCTGCATAAGGAGGTGGGGAAGACAGCTGTTCAGAAGTGCCTGGATAAACTTGTTGCAGTGAGTATATAAAGTTACCAAGTAATTAACAGAGCTAGAGGTGGCCAAGGGGGATGATGGCCTCTGTAGGATACCCCCAGGACTATTATGAAGCCCAGAAGTGTTCATGTGTCCAGGGCTTCAACTGGTCTGCCACCCAAGACTTGAAGTGTTTCCTCATACTCGTTCTCCACGGCCACTTGAGCTATAACTTGCCTTCTGTGTTTGTGGTATTTGACAGCTTGAAGAAGTAACCATGGTTAATGTCATTTGTCCCTTTCTGGATGTTGAATGTTTTTACGAGGTCCACTTTGTTGTCTTAAAAGAAAAGTTGTCAGTCTCAAGGTTAATATTTAAGTTACCAAGCATAGAACTCTATAGTGAGTCTTATATACTACATGGAGATGAAGAAAAAAAAGTTAATACTCGTATATTGGCTGTCCACAGGTTACCACCATGTTTACCTGAGGTTATACTCCTCACTTAGTTGTCTCCTCGTTACCTCCTCCTCCTCCTTGTAGGTTAGGTTAGGTTAGGTTAGGTTAGGTTAGATAGGTTGGTTGGCTCCTTTGGTATGAGAATAGTTTTTTTTTATTATTGGTGTTTTACTCAAAGTTGACTTCTAATTTTGTGCAAATTTGCAGTTTCTATTTAAATTTTTTTTTTTCCGCAAAAATCGCCAATTTGCAAAAGAAATGAAGGTCAGATATGAGTAAAACACACTGAAAAACGTCAAAAAAACTATTCTTGTACCAAAACCTGAGGACAGCCAATTGACGAATATTTACCACAAAAATAGTACTTTACTCTTATTATTTTTCTTTTAGTTATTTAAATTTTTATTAACTGAAATTTAGTAAAAATTCCCAGAGGAATCAATCCATTGTTTACTTATTACGCATCCAATCAACGGAAGATTGGATGTCATTTGTTACTTGTGAGCCAGTCATTGGAAGACTTGTGAGCATGTGCAAGCTCTGAAATTTGATTGATTAGTTTCAAGATGGTGTTTTGTCTGTGAAGGTTGCTCCTTTGCGGATTGGCGTGTAATTCAGACAGTTGTTGACATCCTCAGGGCTCATGGTGTTCTCCCTTCTTCAGTCAACTGTCTAAGGTGTGATTCAGACTGTCAGTATTGTGAAGATCAGCATACTTGGTAGTACAGTAATGTATTGCAGCCACACTCATCCCTGCACTTGGCACGTGTAAGCGCGGGATGCAATCGCTCGGAAAGTCATTCGAATGCCTGAAACAGAGGGATTTTTCTCAGAATTTTTCAAAATGCTAAAAATTTGTTTTTTCGGCTAATGGAAAGTTCCGGGAATTGAAGATTCTGGCTAACAATGATATTACTTTTATTTATCATTTCATCCACTTATCAGCTTACTATCTGTTTGGGCAGTTGTTATTAATTTTATTTATCCAGTTTTAGTTTTGCAATATGAGTTAAAGTTCTGAATATTATTCATATACTACTGTACTTTACCATGAATATTAATTCAGGGTAATCATCTTTATAGAATGGATCAGTTAAAGAAAAAACCTATGGCAAGCAAAAGGTGTATGTCATCGATCAAGAACAGTTTCCGGCATTGGATGAACAGAAGCTCAAGAAAATGGACATGCAGTTAGTGGAACTGAACCAGACTATCAAGGAGAGTGAGAAGGAGTGTGTGGAGGTGGAAGCCAAACTACGGAACCTCAACTCCAGCCTCACAACAGAGGAGGCCAGCAAGAGAGTGACGCAGGTATGGTGCTCTTTTTTTGTGTGTGTATCACAGTATGCTGCATTTGGTGTAAAGGTAGTTTTCCTTATTGCATTACAGTAATCTTAGCTTTTAAAAAAGTTGTGTGAATTGTTCTGAAGGATAAAAAACGTATTGATCTATTTCCTGACGATTCAACTGGCAAGCCAGAGGGGAGGGCTGTTCATTTGGGGTACAGTACTGCACTGATTGTAAACATTATTTTCCTTTGTAAATAAAATACTTATTAATTATCCACATATTACGGTCATTTTCCATATTTGCCATGAGGCACATTTGAAACAAGTTTTACAGCTCTTATTTTGCCAAACCACTTTTATACAGTAGGAACTAGGCATTATATGGAGGACTTGCAAGCAGGGATGGATGCAGGATTTGCTTAGGAGAGGATTATCAACTCTCCAAAATAATGATGAATTGCACAAAGTAAGACCAACATACAGTAGATGAACATGTTATCTTCTTTATACTGTATACGGTACAGTAAAAACTCTGATATCATTAACCAGATGGAATCCGTTATTCAGACATCCATATCAGCAGAGAGGCACGACTGTTCAAAACAACAGCCAGCGTATTACACTAACACATTGGCTTATTTAAGCTCATAATAAATTAGTTCAAGTAATATTATCATACTTAAGTAAATTTAGATGTTTTTTTATTTCAAGTGTTAATAGAGGTAGGTTAGGTCCTAGATTCTAGAAGCTTTCAGAGCTGCAGAGAAGATTTTTTAAGGTTCTCGAGTCACAGTGTACGTATATACTGTATGTGGCATCATTGGCCTTGTGCAGTGTGAGATAATGTGGATGAGTGCAGTATAGCCTCAGGCAATGAAGTGGAAGTGTTCGCGAAATCCACTTCATTCTCGGGAACTTCATTGTACTGTACAGTATTAAACAATGAAAAAATACAATACCTAGATAATTCTGTAAAAAGAATTATGCTTTTTAACTGCCTAGCTTATACTACAGACCGGCAAGGGTTGACCTAATTTAAATTTCTAAGCATCTCGGAGGGCAATACTCAGTTGAGTGTCCATACCTGGAGCTGGCGGAAGCCTGCTCAAAGTATTTGAAAATTCAGAAATTTCTCCGCCACCATCTAATTACCGTGGGACCTTAGAGTTGGCAGTGTTGCTATAACCAACATCCTGAGGTTCTTCAAGTGGAACATTACACACCTGTTTTTACAATACTGTACTGTACTCCCAAAGATGCTTATGCCATCTTACTCAGCAGAATGTTATTCTGTTCATCATGTAATGTTTTGCCATGAGTGTTTATCTATACAGTACTGTATATAGATTTTTTAACAAATTACAGCTGGATGAAGAAGTTTCAAAACTGCAACAGAGGCTTTCTGATCTTCAGGAGAATCAAGTGATGGTCTCTAAAGAAGAAAAAGACAAGATCAGCAAAGCCAATGAAGAGATGGTCAAACAGTGGAGAAAGAGGAGACGAATGGCACGAGACATGTTGGATGCCATCTTGGAAGGATATCCCCACCCCAAGAAGCATCTGTTTGAAGAGATTGGTATTGAAACTGATGAAGATGTTGGTGTAAACTTACCAAAGACTTAGATGCAAAATGCAGGCTTCTAGTTACAAAGTATATACCGGTAATGTTAATTTCGTGATGGCTTGCCTTTCTTCTTTCAGTAACATCACAAAAATTTCACTCTCTAGCATTTATGTTTCCAGTACAGTACTTATTTTTGAAGTGCCTATACTGATCAGTATATCTGTCTTTGAAACTACAAATTTCAGTATGCTTCAAAACAAAATAAATGTATATTTCCTTTACCAAAGCATCTATAGAATATCCTATTGAAATTGCAACTTTATTTTTCTGTAAGTACTGTACAGTATAGTATACCATATAACGTAAGTCTCATAAAATACATACAAATTTCTCTTTAATTTTTGTGATATTGTACTTAATATCATAATGGAATATTCAGTATTGTAAAGGAATCTGTTATCATTGCAAATATAGTTTATTAAACAGCAAATTTAAGATACTATATCTTTCTTTGTAACCCACACAATATATTCTACAAGTTGGACAGTTCATTACTGTATTTGATATATATTTTACAAAGGTTTTTAGTCATTCCATAATGTTTAATATTGTGAAAAGCATGGATGAAATTTCTTAATCTTAACCACACAGGATATACATTTGATGATTTATAGATTTTTTATGGCAAGTCATACATATACAATATACAGTACTGTAATGCCCAGGGCATCCAACCATGAAATATGCTTCAAATTTGATTGATGGCAACCAGGAAAACATGCCATCAGGTAATCATGGCTAACCCACACAAACATGGAAAATGTTCCCGTGGGCTGTGGTCAGTATTCAGAATTAATCTGTTATAACAGTTTCTGAATTCAAATCTATCCTTGTTACTTTAGAGGCTGTCATCTGCAAATAGAGGGATTCAAAATTTCCATTAATACAGTATACGTATATATTTTGTTATGGGTTTGTTCCCTCAGTCATCAGTGATTTCAACATTGCAAAGAAGTACCGGTACTGTACAGCACTACTGACACTTTTATTCATATATCCTGACTTAAAAAAAAATTTTGTACAGTAAGTCCTCTCTTAACATTGTCCCAGATAACATATTTCATTATAACATCGCTACTCTTTAAATACCCATGATTCCAACAACGTTCTCTTACGACCCGCCCGATTCGTTAAAAACGTCACCCTAACATTGTCACTCGGCACTGACTACTGTATTTGTATGGTGTACAGAATATAGCCTCTCGCATCTTGCTGCACTGCGCAGGGAGATCCCCATTGGACACCAAGCCCTACCATCATTACCAATGAAATCACAAGATGCCTGACCTCGGCGAGAATATTGACATTCGATTTTTCTTCATCATCTCACAATTGATAATCCCGAGTGAAAAAATACTGCATGAAAAAAAAGGACTCCATCAAATACACATTCGAGGACAATAGAGTGGAAGAGGCACATGTTGAAACCCTAATCAGTAATGGGAGAATGAGGACCTAATACAACAAAATTGAAAAAGTAGACAGTAAAAGAAAATAAGAACGGGACTAAAGGAGGTACGACAAACATATTCGACAGGAGAAACAAGAGCCAGCAAGCAAGTTGGACTAAGTTTACTGGATCCACGAATGCACAGAACCAAAACATGAAAATTTTACAACAATATCCTTGCCTGGATGCAGTTGAGGAAAAATGGAACTGACAAATACCTACAACACAGTATTGACCCAGACATAATACCACTTAATTCAAATGAATGGATAAAAACAGCCAAAAAATAAAAATCTTCAACTACAATACAAAACCATGTGGAAGAAATCCTTCATGACTTAATCAACCATAGGACAATAAAATTCCTTGGGCCCAACCTTGAAACTTGCGTATCAGCAGGTATCTTGGGGAAACCTGACATGCATTAACCAACCAGCACCACCATTTAAATATACAGTGACCATGTACACCTAAAAGCTGGACTCAACACCACCAGTGACCATCTACCCATAATATCAAAGCTCTCTACAACCCCAATAGAAATCCGTTCTGTTCCAAGGTACTCATTCAACAAAACCAACTGGCAATTTTTTTTTAAAAACATGTCAACATCTCAGCATAATAAGTGTAAAAGTGAGATTGACAGGGAGTGAATACACAGGTTAACTATAATTTGATAATTCTTACACTGGTGGGTTTGGACTGTTTTTAAAGTGGTCAGGACGTTGTGAGTAAAATTAGTCATTACAAATAAGCTAACATTTTACCTTCATTCAGTACTGTTATTTTACAGATATAATTAAGGTGTATACATAATTATGTATGTGGTCCAGCTAATGAAATGTGCATGTGCATGATAACAATGTTTTTCTTTGCCTAAAAATGGTTATAATGGAATAGAAATGCATCACTTGTGAAATAGGAGTGGAACCTAATGCAACCTAACCAATTCGTAACTTATCCTAATCTAACCTAACTTGAATTATCATAACCTAATGTAACCTAACCCAACCAAACATTATCTAATATAGCCTAACCTAACCAAACCTAATCTAACCTTACCTACCTAACTTAACATATCCCAATCTAGCCTAACCAAACCAATATACGAGGGTTCCTAATATTCCTGAAGTCTATTTATTCTTATTATTTTTTGCAAATAATCTGTAACAAAGTTCTTTTGCTAAATTTGACTCAATTTCTATTATGTGAACTTTTTGTTATTAAAATTTCTATAGCTGAGGTTAATTTCTTTAATATAACTGTCCTGAATTAACTACATAACAATTATTCTTTGCATATTTAATAATAATAATAATTATTATATTTATTATTACAGGTATTATTATTATTATTATTACTGTATTATTATTATTACTATCATTATTATTATTATTATTATTATTATTATTATTATTATTATTATTATTACTGTATTATTATTATTATTATTATTATTATTATTATTGTATTAACTAAATCTGGATCATTTATTTTTGCAATCAATAGTTCAGATAATTCTATGACACTTGTTCCCTGATGTTTCTTCCCCGTAAATAATCTATATTATTGTTAGCCATTTAATTAAAGTGTTACTCAGTTGATCTCTTTAATACTACGGTAATACCTTTAAACTCATTCAAAGTCATTTTATTCCCGCATTTAAACTCATTCCTGAAACTGTCTATTTACATCCATTTTCTCAGTTGTAATTAAAGAAAATGGAATCCTGACATAGGGAGACTTGTTTATTTTTTTATTATGATTATAAGCTATAGCAAATATTTTACTTTAATGTACTGTATTTTATTTTATCATCTTCGACACTGATGGGCCATCTAGTCACTTTAGAGGTCGATCACTTCTCTTATATGCTTTGTTGGCACTGTGGGTATGCACTGGCTCTCTGATAGGCACTGTTTTAGCATTCATGGGCGTCCTTAAAGATTTTTCAAGGATGCAGGCAAGGCACTACCTGACATATCAATTTATTCAAAACGTATATACATCCATATAAAAGTATGACCAAGTATAATCGAGTTAATTTCGAGTACACTATGATCAGCGATATCACTCTATCACCAAATTATTAATCACGAAAATTATTATTAAAGTCATTAATCATTCAAATCTAACGAAAATAATAAATTACATTCCATAAGATTAATGAGGATAATTTAAGGATGGCCAATGCTAGCTGTCTGTTAAGCTGGTGACTTACACAGAACATTAACAGTGTTTATTTATTTATTTATTTTTTTACGGGGATTAGCCCACCCGGGCACAGGTCACTGACCCACATTGGGGCCTGGGGGGCTAGAATGTAATAATAATAATAATTCATAGTAAATAAAATTTCAAATAAAAAAAATGTGATAAAATAATAATAATAATAATAATAATAATAATAATAATAATAAAGAACCATAAATACAAAAATGAAAAAAGGATCAAAAGTGAGAAACAATATATGCCTACAGTATGTATGTTGTGCTGTTAATAGTAAGAGAAACAATTGAGACCCTGCAATTGTGTGTAAATGAGGCAGAAAGTCAGATCAGCAACCTGGGACTTGGTCACAGTTTTCGTGATGCCATAAGGCAACAGGGTCTACCATTAGACAGTACATTATGCTTCCAATATCTTCCCAGGCGATAGTACCTCCCTGTTTGGTAGCTGCCTACTACCTACTACTTTCAATAGTTAAATAAATACTACAAGCGTTTATAAGCTCCAAAGCTATCAATCACTTTTTCAGTGAAAGTTTTCTTTCTTTCTAACACCTGGCGATTCTCGCTGAGCATGCATAATCCAGACAAGCGTTGACATTGTTGGTCAAAGCCACCACCGTCTTGACGCGTCTCACTCTCGGCCCTTGTAGTACAGTACAGTGTGTACTCCGGTGCGCGGACTGAAAGGGGGCGTAAGAAAACTTTAATGACAGTGATTTTTGTTATGATCTTACTGTACTGTATTAAAGTTACGTAACATAATAAAAAATACTGTGGACTTCTACAACTTATTGGGTGTTGATATAGATTACTGTTTAAAGCTATATCGATTAAAATACATTAACAATTTAATGTTCTCGTCATAGGCGGTTAACATTGACACCGAAAAGTAATCAATTGGACGCCTTTTTCTTTATGTAATTGTTTTATCTAATAATGCAACGAGCTTGCAGAGCCCCTGAAGATTCTGTTTTGTAAATGCCTGGATGAACAAATGGTCCCCAGTGAATGGAAAGTGGCTTATGTGAGTCCTATCTTCAAGAAGGGCGATAGGCACTCCACGAACAACTATAGACCGGTGAGCCTGACCAGCATAATATGTAAAGTACTTGAGAGTATTATCAGAGATGCAGCGATGGAACATCTACTACGAAACAACCTTGTAAAAGATTGCCAACACGGTTTTATGCCGGGGCGCTCTTGCTTGACACAATTGCTCAAGGTATTGGATATTTGGACCCATATTCTAGAACGGGGTGGTAATATCGACAATATTTACCTAGATTTTGCCAAGGCTTTCGACAGTGTACCCCACGAAAGGCTGAAAATCAAACTGGAAGGGTACGGAATTCGGGGAAATGTCCTAGCGTGGATAGAAGACTTTCTACATGACCGCAAGCAATGTGTGGTGATTAATGGCACGAAATCGTCATCTGTACCTGTAACAAGTGGGGTACCGCAGGGTAGTGTATTGGGCCCGCTGTTGTTTGTTTGTTTCATAAATGATATGCCTGACGTTGTACACTCCTCCATACAAATGTTTGCCGATGACGCCAAGTTATTTCGGGAAATTAAGAACCAAGCGGACTGTGAAGAGCTGCAGAAGGACCTCTGTGGGCTCCAGGAATGGTCGAAGGAATGGCTGCTGAGATTCAATGTCACGAAGTGTAAGAGGATGCACCTGGGGCGTACCAACGGTAAGGAGGCGTACCATATGTCCCAACGGGATGAAGAAAATGTACTAGTTGAGACTG